CAAGATCCTTTATCAGTTAGAAGCTGGCGACGCGACTTTACTTGCGAATAGTTACAGATCGCTCGATCTAAGTACGGCCCACTCCGGTGTCGTTATTCGGTGCGTCGATTCATATCGAAGAAACAGTCTCACTACGATCGAGGATTTCGAGGACTACGTTGAGTACACGACTTCAAAAAGCAAATATATCGGCGATATTTGGCCCATTTATTTAGATAATATCTTGTGCAGATCATTCAAGCCGAACTTGCCTGAGAGCATGATGATACAAGGTAGAAACCTATCTCTTATTTCTGCCGAACATCTTCCATATTTCTTGATATTTTCAAAAGTCCATCTCAGAAACGAGTAGATGCAACCGATGATGGGTGAACTACTGAAAGGAACACCAAGCTAAGCAGTCCATTTCTCACACAGACCCAACTCTAAAATCAAACACATCTACTTCCTTTCCGATTTTATTCGCGAGCAACACAATTGACGGTATAACACCATTGAAATCGTACGTCTCCGTCCGACTTCCTTGCAATTCGAATTCATGTGAATTGACTTAGCTATCCAGAGCTCGTACAATGTCGTCCCGTTTCCCTGGATCTGTGCTCTTGTTACAAGAGGCCGTTGGTGTAAGTTCACCTCGATTCGGAGTGGCACAGCAAGGCAATACAAGAATCTAAGCTGATATTGAACTGGGTTCTCGATTACAGCATACCGTCATCAACCAGCGCGCCTCGACCTGTTACTTTTACTACGTGCAGGCATATTTTCAAGGAGTTGTTCCGCCGTCAAACACCACATGTTCGCAAGAATACTTCCCATTCTTAGACAGTGGTCTCTAGATCCTGGGCATCGCGTAGTCCCATTTGAGGAGCAGAATAGCTAGTGCGGAAAGGTGGCGGGGATATTATAGTCGAACGATTGATTCCATGTATTATCATTTAGGTTCAACATACTGCGTTAGTCGGTGACGCGGTCAGGACAAACAATATTCCATTCTCCTGCTGGTGGTTTGGTTACTTAGATTTGAGCATGTAAGAGTACCTAGGTAGTTTTACTTTGATTATCTATCTTTGGGCCCAAAATTACCGATTCAGATGGGGATGAAACATGCTTCGCTACTTGGCGTTGAGTTCGGTGTCCGTATTAACGGGGCTCGAAACCTAACAAAGGACTTTTCGCAATCTTCCATACGACAATTAGCTTTATACAGGGAAACTCCAGAGGTTGCGAGTTTGAACCTCGCATCGGATGAGATTTTCGATGGTCCTATCTTGATTTATCCAATTAGTATTACCACTTTCTTTCTTCTACTTCACAAATTCACTTCAAATTATCATACTGTGTACACGGATATCCTAAGCCAACTGATAGAGACGAGAAAAAGTATTGCTAGGTCCTTACCTAGCATCGGGGTCTTCATCCGGTCAACCTGTGAGATGCAGGATGCCGCGACTTGCGCCATCTAGACAAGTGTTCCAAATTTATGTTTTAGCGAATGGGAAGTCTGTGCGAGTTCGTAAGTTGTTTTTGCGAGCTACTGTTGGTGGATTTGGTTCCCAGGGGCATATAATAAGAAACGAGTCTCTAGAGGGGTCGCTGGCAGGTAGGGGTAAGGGGTCAATGTTCATTGATTTTTGAGATCTGACGTAGAAAAGAGAGCTCAGCATATCTCTATATACAGCTAGGGCTCCCTAGAGGTACCCTGCTGGCCCGTGGCATTTTGGCATGTGACAGCTGCATATCGAATAGCTTGACCATTTTTAGCATGTTAAGGCCCGGAGGATAATGAAGCTCCCTTAGATTAGGGTCTATGTAATTTTTGATACGATCACCACTGCCAACCAAACACGATGTTCCGTGAAGCCATTCACCGGGGTTGTTTTAGAAACATACCGGAGATAGCTCGGTCTATATTTAGACGGATTCTATTTCGTACGTATTATAGTATGGTTGCTATGGCTTTGGCTCAGACACCATTTCCAGATTCGAGAGCTCAGTGCGCGCTGTCTTCAAGAAGTCACCGTTGTCAGAAGGGCATGCTATGGGCGTGGTGAATACACGCCGAGCATCTTAGGATAGCACTATTATTATGAAGGATGCATTCGCAGTGGCAAGTGAATGAAATGGCAGATAGTAAAACTTGATTAAGCATCAACTTTGTCTCGTCGACGGCGAACTCGCAAAGTCCACGCCCGCACGTTCCAATCCCCCAAGAAAATGCATTGATCCCACGCATTTAAGCCAGAAACTCCCCAAAGGCATGAAAGTTGACATTGTTTTCTCGGTGTAGCCCGTTTCTTCGTCAAATTTGTGACATGGATCCCTTTCTGCGTCGATCATGTGTTTTTTGCTGGTTCCAACACTGCTGTCAATAGCACCTCTTCACATCGTCCCAAGAGACCTTGGAATTTGCTGTGACATAGTAGGTATCATGTCGCATCTACGGTCAGTTAATGCATTTGCAAAAAAGTGCGAGGCGACACACTGACCTCCACTGAGTATCCGTTCAAACCGAACCGGATTCTCAGCATTGTGTACAGTTTTGCGGGATGGATATAGCGACCCGGAATGGTAGTGACTATTCCATGCGTATGAACACTGCTCGGTGGACTGCTTGACTGCCTAGAACGGCGCCAGAAGCACAATCTTGACAACAACTTGAACGACGATTTTGGCAGTAGCATTGCACAATAGAATGTATAAGATTGATGGGATGGGTAATTTTCGGATTAAACAAGTGATGCAACAATGAGGGACGAAGTGACAATGGAAGTCGGTTTTCGGGGATCACCAGGACAATGGGGGCCCTGAAATGTCACAGTCGCCACCAGTTTGCTACAAATATGTGTGTGTGCGATGTGGCATGTTCTTTGTCGGACAACAAGAAGTGGGGAGTCATGCCTACATGTGCCTAGAGGTACATACGTGTTGGTGGCTCATGCCATGGACACAATGCCTCCCTCAACCAGAGACATTCAAGCGGCACCTCTACATCTTGGGGCAGAGCCACCATCCAGGAAAGGTTCGCCTATACTGGCTTGACTGGTATCATATTTGCTCATACTTTGAGACAGTTCCATCATACATAATCGGAATGGACAATAATTCGTCTGTTCATTCATTGGAATGGTCTTGGTTTTTATGTGGTTCTTCAATATTTGGTACGCGATGAAAGTTTCTCGTCCCCAACTTCTCAAAATCGCGCGCTAGATCGCCCATTGCTGACGGACGCATAAGGTAGACTTAAGTCGATACAATTGAAACGGTGTCACAATTATCCATTCTTGCCTGGCTCGGCGGCTCGGCGGCTCGGTGGCTGAGTCTGAGGGCACCCGTATCGGAACTTGAGTGCCCATGTAATATGTGTGATTGTACTTTGATTCTACCGCCTTCGCGGTATGGTAACAGTAACATCTACATGGCTTTTGGGCCATGCTATTCGATGTTGTTCTGTCTCGCGTCGGACCATCTGATCGCCGTCACGAAGCCTGCCCCAGCATCAGCGGTTCATGTGGCTTGGGCCAGGATTTGTGCAATCCCATGCGCCAATTTCGTGTAACAAGAGATCGCCCCAATGCTACCCGAGTACTCGGTCCTTGCCTTGATCATTTCCCGTCCGATAGTACGTTGAGGTGAGGATTTCAGTTCATGGGTTCATAAGTGCTCACTGGTTCGAACATGCATTGCCAATACATTCGCAACCATGGCGAAAGCTTCCATATGAAACCTCGGCCTCCCACAATGGCCATTAGTAGCCAGTCCCTCATTTCTTTATTCGTTGAAAAAAGTGCCACGTGGGCTGGCCTCGCCTGTAATCTGATTATTCTACGATGAATGGCAAAAGACGAACATGGCAAAGAAGCGAGCAGAATCGATGGCACGGAGGATGTCCGAAATGTAGTACCGAGAACAAGACTACATGTTCGTTCAAAAAGAGTATTAATGAACGAGTAGTTCCGAAATTCGCGGAAATCAGGTAGGCACTATATGAGAATCTTTCATCTCCGACAATTGCTAGCCCTAGTAGCTTATCTCAATACTATAAAACATCCAGCCTGCATGATTCGATCGAGAGCCAAGTTCTTGATTACGAATTCAATGCTTCTGTTCCAAACTTAGGACCTCGACGATCTTCGCACGACGCTGTGGATTTCCTCGGGCTTCCGGACTCTACGGGGTCCTCAGTCGTACCAGCGACGCAGCACACCCGACGCAACAGCGAGCTCATGAAGTCGATCGCGCTCCTGACGATGATCTTTCTGCCTGCTACATTGTCGCGGTAAGTCTTCTCTTGACCGACGAACATCTGAATCAAATGACTGACGACGCTACTAGACACCGTTCAGCATGGGATTCTTCAACTACGAAGGCCCAAATGGCGACATACTGAGTATCAGCCCTTACATCTGGCTATATTTTGCAGTCACTATCGTCTTCACGTCAGTGGCATTTGGCATATGGTACATGTTGGTGAAGAGACGACAGCAAGTCCGAGGTGACGTTGAGAAGCAAGCTGGGGACTTCATAGTGAAAAAGCCTGTTCAGTTCGTATTCAGGGTCAAAATCTACTTCGAATGCTTCGTAGAGTCGAGGGAGATGGACATGTAGTAGTGATAGGGGTACCCGGAATGTAGCTGCACACCGGTCTACGTGACAGTATGAAATCACAGCATTTCGTGAACGTCATTGGTCTCTGTGTACGCGGTAAACAGAACAGTCTTTCCAGCTGCAGCCCGCAAGGGTCGTAACCAATATTTAGCAGTATTCAAGAAGTATACCGACGTATCAAGGGCTTCCGGATTCCTCATTATGCACTATACTACCTAGTATAGGTGTAGAGATATGGGGCATGGATTCAGACAAGCCTTCAGAAACTATATGAAGTTTTGCTTCTAGATCTCCAAAGCCTAACACTTTGCCCGTAATTGTCTATTAAGCCAAGTTTCTCCCAAACTTCATCGATATGTGTTTGGATACGACAGCGGGACACCAAGAAAATTCAGCGCCGCGTGAGCTCAGTTGGAAAGATAGCGTAGGTTTCTGAATCCTAAGGTCATAGGTTCGAGTCGTACGCTTGGTCTCGTTTTTTAAAGTTCTTTTTTTTGTTGCCCCTGTAAACTAGGGGAACTGCGAGCACGATTTCTCTCTCTCAAGGATTTGCTGATGAGAAACGACACATTGCTTCACACAGGCGTGGTACACATGTTTCTGATACACAAGAAGATAATAAGGAGTCGCAAAATACTCCCAAAAAGAAGATACTAGAATGTATTTACGGCACGTCAGATAGAGATGTTTAGGATGTAGAGATTTTCGGGATTATGAACATAGGAGTTTATTACAGATGCGAATTCTCCGAGAGCGCCATCTGTAGAGCCAACTCCCTTCGAGCCAGAGAAGAGCTACGCGTTCATTGCGACTTCACGAACATGACGGCTACGAATACGCCTCTGTGGGTGGAATCTGTAGGCTTAGCGAGTATAAGCTCGCCTTGTCGGTCACATATTTTCGGGTCAAGCGCTTCAAAAACGCCATGTTTCTCTATATGAAAGCCAGCCTGCGTTATCTCGTTTGAGATCTATCAGAATTAGCGTTTATACCGCTAAGTCCATTACTAGCTTGTTGAACGTTTCGGACGATGAAAGCATGTTGAGATACCTTATTTCACTCTTATTGCCACTTTGTCTTGATTCAGTAATGACTGTAAACCCGCTTTACTATGCTAGAGGCTACGATCGTAGCACCTAGTCAATCTCAAGCAGCTCATATTTGTCCTCACCAAGCGCATCCTCGACCCTCTTCATCAGAGCTAAGACCTTCTCTTCTTCCAGCCTACGGCCAACAACCTGAACGCCGACCGGCAGCCCATGCATAGCCGTAGCATCGTATAACTTGTAAGCACCCTGGGCGACGCCGTTCAGCTTCTTCATATTGAAGTCGGAAGACAGGGCATCGAGAGTCTTGTCGACGTGTGTGATAGGAATACAGCCAGCAGTATAGTCAAGCTATTATAGTTAGTCGATCAGCCTCGACGTCACAATGAGAGATTCAAACAGAAGAACTCACCACATTGAACAAGAACGTATATCCGCAGCTGCTGACTGCCTGTCCCATACCATCATGTGGCACGGCAGGCGTAGCATTAGTGGGAGTGAGCAGGAAATCAACGCCGACGCTATCCCACCAGTCGTACCACCTAGATCGGTATGCCTCACGTTTCGCGACAAGTTGCCAGTTCTCGTAGGCGCTCTTCTGATGCCATCCGTTGACAAGACCCGCCCACACGTTATCGCGGCGTATGTATTTCACCCATAGGTAGTAGATATACTTGAACGGTCGCGGCATGTTCATCAAGAAGTTCATCTGTGCAGCACCGGGGTCATTCCACTCGCGCCATCGGAAGAAGGACTTGAACATCTGGCATCCATCTGCATTCAGCAGGTGTGCACCGAGGTACAGGGCCTCATATGGCGAAGGCGGGTCGATCTCAACTATATCGTGCCCCGCAACGCGTAAAGCAGACTCCGTCATCTCGAGTGCACGTCGGCAGGCCGGACTGGGGTCGACCACGCCATCCGTCCGCATGATGCCTACACGGAGCTTGGCCTTCGTCTTGTAATCCTCCTCAATCTCGGGGCGCCATGCAAGAGGATGCACAGAGTAGTCGTATTTCCACGGCTGCATGCCGATAACGGCGCGGGTGAAGTATGTTAAGTCGTTTAGGGTACGGGTCATAGGGCTGTAAACGCTCGGCACCCCCTCTTGACCCGGCATGCTTGTCGAGAAGCCAGCTTTGGGCCAGCGGCCGGTTGAGCAACGAAGCGAGTAAATACCTGAGAAATGCGCCGGAGCACGCACGCTGCCCGCGACATCACTGCCGATTCCAATCCGACCACCCAATGCCAGCAGTGCTGCCTCGCCACCCGTGGATCCACCGGGTGAGTACTTGCTGTTGTGAGGATTTGTGCACCGTCCCCAAACATCATTCGTAGACTCGAAACTGAGAAGCGTAATCGGACAAGCCGTCTTGACATAAGGGACAGCTCCGGCGTCTTTGAGTAGCCGCACTGTGGGGCCGTCTTGTGCGTGTGTCTTGCCAACGAAAGAGCTGAAGCCAACGGTTGAATCAAACCCTCCCACGTTGATGGTGTCTTTCAAACTGACTGGAATGCCGGCCAGTGGCCCTTTGAAGTTGATGGAACCGTCCTTTAGCCAACCCTCGGCTTCCGAGATCATAACCTCGGTGACGCAATTGGTCTTCTCGTGAGCCTTCAAAGCCACCTTGCCGTAGGTGTCAAGCAGATTTGACGGGCTGAGCTCGCCATTTTTCACAGACTCAACGAGCTTCTCAATCGGCTGGTCTATAATGTCTCTATCTCGGCTGTTGTAAGGTGCTTGGTACCGCGTAAGCGCTTTGATCCTCTCAATACGCTCGCTCTGCTTGAATTGGCTATGATTCGATCAGTTACCTTTTAAGCAACCCATAAATGTTGATCATGTCTCGGGAAATAGACTTATTCATCAATTCAGGCTTACCAGTCTCGCCTATGTTGGAGATAGTCCAGGATGAAGACCATGTTGATGATGTCGGAGACCGCCGACAGGGAGCTGGGAACTCAAAGTAGGGGTTAATGAGCTACTATATGAACCAAGAGACGCCGAGTAGCTGAACAATCAGTCCATTAACGTGAAAAAGAGCCAATGTTCTTGAGAGAATGAGAAGAAGCAACGGGAGACATCTCATGAGACGGCACTCATACCAGCCACCAATCGTCTCACCGTCACAGCTCGTCTCACCGATAAGGACGCTGCAGGATCCGGGGCGGGTATGCTGCTTGTCTCCGTCTCCAATGGCCGCAGCTAGCCGTCCACACCAACCTCTTCAGTCATCCCGCCTGAAACACCTGGACATCACATCTATCCCTGCCGAGCCTGCTTCCCCCAAATCTGCCCCCAACTTCTTCAACAAACCCCACCACCAACCAGCGCCCTGTAAATTAGTCTGTAGGGCTGTCACTAGCCCTTTGCGCATGTAGATGACGAGAGGCCGATGCTACCGCTATGTGTTCTCATTGCCTTGACGACAGCGTGACTCAACCTAGGAACGTCGTCTTTTCATACATGTTATTATTCATCTTGTGGTACGAGAAAGTCACAGTTGTACAGTGAATCAATCCCCTGTTGAGTGACTAAGGTAGGGGTTTCTTCCAATTGCGACTCTTGCCAAGCATCGTGACAGACGTTCGTCTCAGTGACGAAGAGATTCACCCCCGCACTCGAGACCCAGAAAGGAGAATCGGATCATATCTTATACATTGACTCCATATCAGTTGCTATACACAACACAACTACCATGTCATCAGAATCTACCCCCTACGATCCAACTCGCACAACAGATTGGCTTGTCTGCAACGCCTGCGGGACCCAGTTCCCAACCTCAGAACGCTCCAAACTGGCAACATGCTTCATATGCGACGACCCACGACAGTTCACCCCACCCTCAGGGCAGTCCTTCACCACACTCACCTCCCTCCGCAGCACACACAAGAACACATTCACACCCCTAGCCTCCGACCCAGAGAACATAATCTCCATAGCCACTACCCCCAAATTCGCCATCGGGCAACGCGCAATCTTCATCCGCACCTCGAAAGGAAATGTACTTTGGGATTGCATAACCCTCCTCGACTCCGACACAATCACTAAAATCAAGAGCCTAGGCGGACTAAGCGGAATAATCATCTCCCACCCACACTACTACACCACACACCTAGAATGGGCATCAGCATTCTCCTGCCCAGTCTACCTCGCGTCCGAGGACTCACCATGGCTCGCACAGCGCTCACCTAGCCAAATATTCATCAACGGAACCGCAACCCCAATCCTCGGGACCACCGTCCTCAAGTTAGGTGGACACTTCCCAGGGTCCCTCGTGCTGCTATCCAACAAGCGCCTCTTCATCGCAGACACGCTCGTCACGACGCCGTCGGGCCTAGGAAGCTGGGATAAGGATGCGATGGGCGCGAGGAGAGAGAGGCCGCAGGGAATGAATACTTTTGTGTTTATGTGGAGTATACCGAATATGATACCGCTCGCGCCCGATGAGCTGGCGAGAATGTGGCGGGTCTTGAAGGAGTATGAGTTTAGTAGTACGCATGGGGCGTTTTTGGGGGTGGATATTGAGAAGAGTGTTCCCGAAATGAAGAGGAGGGTGTTGGAAAGTATTCAGATACAGGTTCGTGCTTCTGGGCATGGGGCGCATGAGCTTCTTAGTGAGACGGTTGAGTGAGATGGTGAGATGGGTAGGCTAGGGGTTTGAATAGATTGTCTCGCACACATTTGCATCGCTGCGTCCCTTCCTTTGCGGATACAGCATTTCACCGAGGAAACAAATATATCCCACGCACAGAAACCCGAAGTGGATCGAAATATGAAATAAAAACGCAATTGAAAAGGCAACTAAGAAAGGGTAACAAGAAAGAAACAAGAAATCACAAGAAGCCCTCGACCACCACAAACTCCACCGTCCGGGTTCGAATCCGGGTGCTTCATGCATCATCCGCACGAAGCACGCGAGCTCGCAGACTTCTTTTCCACTCTGTTTATTGTACTGGTGTGAGGCTGCTGGCTAAAAATCGGTAATACAATTGAGCACGTTAAGTATCTATTCTCCCCGAGCAGCATGCCACAGTACGCAAGGACACCGGTCTACTCCAAACGATCCGACTATCGCCATTTCACAGCTTACTCTCACCACCCTGAGGGACCTTCACAACGACCTTCCCCCAAGTCTCTCTTCCACCCAGCGCAAGCAAAGCATCCGGCACCTTTTCTAACCCAATAAAGTCCTTGTCGCTGAAGACCGTGCCCCTGAATTTCTTCTTCGCAATGAGGTCGAAAATCGCCTTCCAGACAACTGGGATAGTGCCCCTCTCAAACTTTGCGTAAGCACCCCAGTGAATGCCGACCAATGAAATATTCTTCAGCAAGACCTTGTTCATCGCAACTTTCTCGATATTGCCCGCCGCGAATCCAACGACGAGGATGCGCCCATTCCATGCTACGCACTTGGTGCTCTTGT